ATCTGTCCTCATTGAGAAGCATTTCAATGACTAGCACTCCACCGCCTGTTTCAAAATATACATTTCACTGACTTAATCCAGAGGAAATAGTATTTCTGCAGTATTCTGAAGAGTGCAACTTGATTGTTCCAAAAAATCAGGGATTAGATGACCAAATAAAAGGGAGTGTAGTTTAACCCAGTTGACACCGACATACAACGAGGATACCTCATGCTGGTAAAATAGTATAGAGTGATAATTATGGATCAGATCTTCCAATATTTTGATGCTTAATAATTTTCACTCCTCTGCCTTTACTTGCTTTTTATGTCATTGGAGATGTGCTGCCTGTGAACCAGAATGGAACTACACACACACCTCACCTAGGGCTGCTCTGATTCCCACACTCAAGAATTTTGGGCATACGGGCACATTATACACCCTGAACTTTACACCCGCATATGACAGACAGACCAATATTTTTATCTTTATTGAAAGAGCCCTGAACTTTACACCCGCATATGACAGACAGACCAATATTTTTATCTTTCTACCATTGAAAGAGGTAGCCTTTTCTTTAAGGAAGGAAAGAGAGAGAGGAATTACTTTGCTGAATGTGAGCTTCTGGCAACTTTACCCAATATTTTCAATTTATTTATTACGGCTGAGTGCCCAGCTCAACTTTACTGAATATGATCTTCCATGGAAGAAACGTACACTGATTTTATAGTGAATGGGACAAAATCAAGACAGGAACACCCTTCATACTCTTGTTTGCATGTAGACACAATCTTAATATAGATGAAAGCTACAGCTTCCCATTCTTGTATGCAATGCTTTTGATTTCTGCTTCATTTGGAACAGGGCTCAGATATGAGCAACTGTTGAAAGAATTTTGAATGGTATTGAGTAACCACATGAAGTCCATACTCATCAAACATTGGGAGAAAACGCTTCCAAAAGAGTACAAAATTATAGTCACAGTCATTATTTACCTGGTTCTCAGCAATATTCCTAGAGAGGATTGCCTAGCCACTCTCCTCTCCTTTGGTTTCTCCATGATATGTGAGGAATGATCTGTCTGAAGAAGAATTATTCCTACTAGAGACAGGCAGAAGCTGTGTTGAGGAGACAGGAGAGGGTAGCGTGCTTCGCCCAGGGAATGGGCAAGTGCAGAGGAGGCGGGAGAAGACAGTGCATGGGACCAGCAGAACACTTGTGTGGGTACTGCACCAGGGTGGGCCGAACTGTGGTTTGTGCCTATCTATAATTCCCACTCATGAATAAACCCTCCATACAAACAAGACCCCCCCCCCAGTTTTTCAGCTTTCCTGCTGAATAGGAAAGTAGGCCAGTACAACACAGATGTAGGCAGAACCCTTCCTCTTCAGACACATTGCATTCCAGCTAGAATATGACAAGAGGGAGAAGGGAAGGCATAGGAACTCCTCTGTAAATGTCTTGCCAAGAAGCAGGCAAGTAAGGCCTGAATAGGACTTCAGACTAACTGTGTTCTAAAATACCACGTCTGAAATGCCCTTTCCCCTGGATTGCTTCCATGTTTGATTTCTATTATACCTCTGTTCACCTTACAGACATTAGAAAGACATTAGAAAAACCAAGGAGGCTTTCAAGAGTCCTGTGCATGATTATCAAAGAAAGTATTTCAGGGAGAAACATGACTTCAGTTCATGCGTTGCATGCAAAGTTCCCATGTTCAATACTGGATCCCTCCAAGACAGTGTGGGAAAGACTCAGGTCTGAAACCCTGCCAGTTACAAGGGATGAAATGGTCTGAGAAGGACCTTCATGCCTCTTATTGTGCTGAGTCGAGATACCTGAGGCTACTGTGAGCTAATGGAAAAGCAGTTCACAGAGGCATCAAGGCAGAGCACAACGCTTTCAAGGCTATTTTAGTGCAGTGGAAATAGACATACCAGGCCTGCAGACTTGGTGCAGTTTGGTTAGCAGCTGCACACACTTTTCATCCTCCCAATCATGCAGAATCCGAGCCAAAATGTAGAGGTCAGCTTCAGGAACCGGGTCTTTAAAAAAGTCCCCTGTAATGAAACAGGCACAGCACAGTTGAATTAAGTACTTTGTTTTAAAGTCAATCCTGCTGCTAATAACAGGAGTGGACACTTAACATGATTTATCCATTTTCCCACTGCGTAGGGACATGCCTTAGCAGTCAGGCATGCAGATTAAGCCTGGGTTTGCCTTCCAAACAAACCACACAAAATGCAAGGTAGGAGAGAGAAATCGCATTATGGCTTTTCACCATTTGGATGAGCCATTCTGCAAAATGCTGTGCTGAACATATGGTCTGTTTTGCCCCTTCAAAGAAGAATAATTTGGTCTAGTTTTTGGAAATCATATATCACAATGAGGTAGGTGTCATTGCCTGCTCTCCGTCCAGCTGAGGCAAACATTACCTACAATTTAAACTCAGATAGGATCTCAAAAGAAACCATATTTTACCTTCCTGGAATGTAATCTGCCTTTTGTCTGAGGACATAGGTTGCTTCTTTGCCCTTTCCACTACTTTAGGAAGGTCAAAAACGGTCACCATACAATTTGGATATAAGGAGACACATTCCTTAGCCAAGGCGCCACTACCCCCTTAAAGAAAGAACAGAATGTAAAAATTTTACACAATTGTTATGATGTTGTGCATTTCAAGATTTTTTCAAAACACCCTTTTGTAAAACTTCAGGGTAGAAAACCGAATCAATGGCTATCTAGCTGTTTCACAAACATTACAGAGCAAAAAGAGACATATCCTGCTTCATTCGTTTTGAGAGATTCATAGAGTATTTGACAGTAAAGTAGTACCACAACTTCACAGGGAGCAGAAAAACAAGGCTGAACTAGAGCAATACAAAGAGTAACCTGGTGGAACAATAATTTCGGAGGAGAGGGAACATATTATAGACTGGAGGCATGGAAGATTATGCTAGGTAGGAAAAGGATTACAATTTCATTACCTGAATATCCAGGGTAGTGCAATTTATTAAAGGGCTAGACTAACCACCATATCCACACAGGTAATATACAACAATACATCAATTAATGTGTATTTCTCTGGATCATTCTCCTGCCTGTCTGCACTTTCTCTGCTGTGCAAAAGTTCCTTCTCAATCTTTCTTTCCAGGATTATCTAACCTAGCAATTTTTTGCCCTTCGTATCCTGCTAACCTTATTCCTTATTAACATTCCAGATCACAGGGTACTCTGACTTTTTCCTGCCAAAGCACATAATAGCTAGGGAACTGATGTGCTTTTACAATGACATATCTCGGCCCATGTGGGAACACAGCTTCCTCGTCAGGAGATCAGCACAACGGGCCTTAATCTGAATTCATCTGTGCCCAATTTGATGTCCATTGTGGGTAAATAGCCAATGTAGTCAAACCCCACCCTACCCCAATTAACTGCAAAATCACCTGAACTGGTCAGGGAAATTCACCTGGTTATCCTACAAATTCCACGGTGGTCTGTTCACTATAGGTCTTGAATGTGCTCTTCACCCAAGGGTATCCAGGCTGGCTCTTCTGGGAGACACAAGGGGGAATCCAACCCCCAATAGTGCCTCTGGTACACAACTCACCATGTATTCCAGCCAGCTCATTTATTAAGAGTGATCAATAATTTCCTGAACAAAAGAGATAGCTGCTGATAATATTTAATAAAGGGAAACTCCTGAGCAATGCTTGGACAACTCAGTCTCGGTTTTTAATGCAATGCAGATTTTACAACAAAAGATTCACAAGGAAGTAGGGTAAAAGGGGAGGGTGGTCATCATACAAACCCCCCCCCAACTTACACAATAATATGATTTCAAGTTATCCGCAATGGAAGGCAGCTGAGAATTTATGCTACTTACCTCCCAGATCATAAATGAGTGGGAAATGAGAAAGATTAAATGCAGACATCACTTCTCTACCATGCACATTCCAGGCATCATCCATGGCATCAGAGAATCTTTGCACTTCTTCCTCTGTTCTAAGAATTGAAAAGCACAATGGCAGATAACAGTCCTGCAATCTGATGTACAGCTAAGTCCTGCAATTGGCAGGCTACAAAGAGAGACTCGGGACATGGATGAAAAAGAATAGCACTGGATAAAACAGTCTTGAAAGAAGTACTTTTGCACCTCTCAAGAGTGAAAATGTCCACATTTGCAATAAGTGCTCAGTTTAGGAAAAATGCACCAAAATGTACATGAATTTTGATGTGGGAAGGAAAAAACTATCAAAATTCAATATAAAGCAAACATGAGAAGAATGAAATTAAATCAGGACTGGGAAATTTTCATCCATGAAGTCTGTGTTTAAATTCCACTTACCAACCCCAAAACAAAGCACACTACATGCAATGCAGGGAAACGAGGACAGAAACGTGCTATGAGAAACAAATTTCTTTCACCTCTTCAAAAAATATGCCTGTTCTTGGATCTGGAGTTTGGAACGAGGTGTCTTGGCAACTGTTATTCAACCATCTTATGGCAAGGGTGGGGCACCAGCCACATATGTAAAATTATGCGAAAATGGATCTCTGTTGAAGCAAGTGGCAATATTTGTGTAGATCTTTTGAGCATGTGGGGATTTCTGAGTTATAGACAGCTGCGCTAACACAGCATGTAAAGAAAGACAAGAGCACAGAATAGCTTAATTGTGATGTGATTCCACATTTAGACCTTTCTCTCAAAAACAATGCCAAAACATTGCTCTTTTTACCTGTAAACAGCCTCAAAACAACTGTTTGGTAACATGCCATGTGTTTTCTTAAATAGTCCTTCCCCTTCCCTGAAAGAGATGATTTGCATTAATATAAAGAAAAATAGACAGCCTATATACCAAATACAGTGTCACACACTTATCCCACCTCCAACAGCACTTTTTAGAACCACCAACTGAAGTTGACAGTTTTGAAATCAGATTTCATAATGCACAGTGGTATTTAACTGTATGAAAGATTTCCCCTAACCCTAAACCCATCCACTTCAACTGAAACATATAGTTTTTGGCCTCAAACATTTCAATCATTCCCATGCAAAGCCCATTCAGAATAACATACTGCAGAGTTGTAGAAATTTCAGTTGCCCTGCTTTCTTCCTACATAAGTAGGGTGAATGAAATAAAATTGAAAAGTTTTGTTGGGAGCACATAAGTTTTGCGATGTGTCCATCATGCTGTATTCCATTCATATCAATGTGTATACCATAGCCACAGCAAGAGTAGAAGGTTAAGATCCATCTCACCTGAGAAGTCATGTTTTAAAACCCTTTACCCTTAAGAGGGACTCATTTAAGGGTATTGGGAGATTGCCCTTAACATCTGAATAAACAAATTGCACAAAAAATTATTTTAGATATGCAGCAAATGTTGTAAGAAAAGTAGTAGTATTTGTGTTCTGGAGCAACTAACGTGTTATAAGACTTACTTTTTATGTTCTATTTAATTTACATATAATATAAATACCCAGAAAATTAATTTAGCAAAATAAAAAAATTACATTTAAGAAAAACCCCTGAATGATTAAATGGCAGCGCCAGAAAGATTTCCATGAAAAGTAGTGTTCTGAACAAACCAAAGCTGCAGATGGTTGTTGTGGGTTCTTCGGGCTCTTTGGCCGTGTTCTGAAGGTTGTTCTTCCTAACGTTTCACCAGTCTCTGTGGGCGGGGGCTTTGC